CAAGAGCAGACTTGGCCCAGCAGCCACTGCAGATTTAGGCTGGTCCCAGCCTGCTCTTGTCCAGCTGCAGGCAGCTCCAGACCCATGCTGATTGCATATAAATTAACTTCACATATAATGAATTTCGGTTACAAAAGGGTCATCACTTGAGAGCAAATTTGCATAAAATTGAACCCACATAAAAATAGAGGGAAAACTGTATTACAGCATACTTGTAGCCTCAGTTGTTTGGAGAAACTTTACAGTTTTAGTTGTGTACAGGCTGGAGTTTCTCTGGTGTTCAACTCGTGGATACATTAATAAGATCTTACTGGTATCTGAGGGTCCTTAGTTTAAATTCCAAAAAAAGAACATGTTTTTTAAAATGCATTTACAGTAGTAGGCTATATCAAGGTTAATGCATTTAAAAATGACATCAGTTGGTGCAGTCACAGTCAATCATGCAAGTGTTTATTCATGAAAATGTTTTACCACAGCAGTGTACTGGCTGGTAGTGTGCAAATACAGTCAAGAGGCACTTTGTGAAATAACTGGAACACACTAGCTCCTGCAGTCACGATCTTTTAGAAATTGAGCCATAACATGGACTAACCCTTACTTAAAACAAACAAAAACCATGCAGGTTATTTATGGTACATGCAGAAAAAGCTTTAGTTTTGTAACATTCAAATCCCAATGGATTCAACGGTTTGTGAAAAGCCAATCTGGCTAATTTGATTCCACTCCCCAGTTGCACTTCAGCAGTCTTCCAAATGCCAATTTTTTTATGCAACACTTCAACCTTCAGAACATTTTTAAAAAGGGGGGATTATACCCAAGGTGTGCACATACTTTTAATTACAGCTGAATTCATTACAATGACTCCATTCATTCACCAATTTCATGCACCGCTTTCCTAATGTAAACCGAGCAGCCATTTTGAAACTCTTCACACTTAAGTTTTCGGACTTTGTACTGAGAGAATAAATTTATTTTCTCATCCTGTTAAAGGGAATTCACCTTCCTACTTACCACCTGGTAATTAGCTGTTATTCACATTTCAAAATGTAAACAATGAATGCACTGCAATTAGACCTTCTGACTAGCTCTGCACTATAAATCCTAAATCTCTAGTACAAACAAATGTTTTGTTGCTGTAAGTCACGTGCAAATGTTCCAATTCTAGCAAGCTCCATTTCTGACAAATTCTGCTATGTAATATATACACTATTTCAGCAGTTATGACCACCTTGAAAAAGGTGGGACTTAGTTTCTTCAGATGATAACGGAGGGTTACTCTTTTGCCATCCAACTGCTTACATGGGGGTTTTTTTGTATATTTTATATTTCTGCAGATAATGAAGTGGTGTGCAGTAGTCAAACCTATACAAGCATTGTATACATATACTGTAAATTGGTTCTTCCCTGATGAGCATCAGGGCAGTCATTTAGCACTTACATTATTTTTCATTCATGAATACCGAAATGTTTCACAGAGTGGTTAAGTATTTTTATTCTACTGTACAGATTGGAAAATAGATTCAATATTAACCTTGTGCCCCCTCTAGTAGAACACAAACATGTTCCACATGTTTGGCAGAAAGATGCATTTTCTACACCTTCATGTAAAATGTAGCCAAACAACAAACCTTATACTTACTAACTCTAACTAGACAGATATGCTATTTTCTGTCTGATCCACAGAACACTTGCTGGGCAATTAATGTATTTGTGGAGACAGCATAATTTCCTATGGCTAAAGCAATTTGCAGTACAATGATGTATAGCAAGTGACCAAAAACTCAAGGTTTCAAGTGAATTTCTCTTTCCAAACAGAGATCTTGAAAGCCATCCTGCAAAAATGAAAAAGAAGAATTTCTCTGTAGATAAAGCATTTTCTAAATCTTAAAAGGTGCAAGTATCAGAGAGTAGGAAAAAAAAAAAAAAAATCACTGAAAGAACCAGAAGATCTCCCACAAGTCATATCACACTGGAGCTGTACAATTCTTGAAAAGCATATAAAAAGCCCATACTTCCATTTTAGTTAGGTCAATATTAGGATTTATTTACCGAAGTCTTATCCTTGCATCAAGTCAGTAAGTCTTGACAGCCTGCTTTCCTACAAAAGTGTAATACATACGAAGGATTAAGAAGTATGATTGAATCAGTCCCAGACTGCTATTAAAAAAACTGTACATCTGAATATTTAATGTTAACCACTTAATATTTAATTTGAACCCATCTACCTAATTTAAAAAAAAGAAGGTATTCTGTCATGTGTATTACAAGTTAAAAAATTAATTTATATTGAAGTTAGATGCAAGACTTCAGATATGTTTCCTTTCTGTGAGATGCAACAAAGCTTAAAAATCTGTTAGCCAAAATTTCCCCTTTCAAAGACTCCATCTTCCAGAGAAGCAAACCTTCAAACCTAAAATAATGCAGCCTTCTGATGAGCTGTCCATCTCTGTGGTTAGAGTCCCTTCTCTGGGTTCACGATTTAGGATAGTTTCAGAGAGTATTAAGTCCCTTCAGTCTTCTAGCAAAACTGTGCGCAGTGCATCCTCTGTATCTATCAATATTGAAGCTACTGCCCCATCATTAAACTCAAAAGAAGTTCCTCCGTCCACAACCATGCATGCATCCCAACAACGGGAACGAACACAAACCCTGCAAATAAGACAAAAAGCTTAGATTTAAACAAAATGAATTACTTCGAAAATAGCCAGAAAACATACAACTGAAACAGACCACTTAATAAGTATGGAGGATTGAAGTGCCTTGCCAAATGCACCTGCTAGAAAAGAAAGTTTGCGAGCAGCCTACTGACCAATCAGATAAATGCTGTACCTCTAAGTTCTAACACAAAGCTAGAGAGAAACCCATTTACTGTAATACCAACTTGCTTATTGGAAGATCTTTTATGCATCCTGTAATTTGTATGAAGCTAACAAAATCCTACCTAATCTTATGACATCAATTAGCACAAGTCATTTCAATCTTTCCATTTAGTAAGAGCTAACAATTTCAAACATGTACAATGTAGAATGAATAAGTTTTTCGTGAAACTTTCTCTGGCTAGATGGAAGCAAGGCTACTTGTTAGAAAAATGTAGATATACATGTAGCAACAGATTACTGTCAATGTTAAATTAGTACATCATTTTAAGCTATATAAAACATCTACCCCTTTTATAGAGGCAGCTCCTCTGGTACTGAACAAGTGTATTGCCATTACCATGTTTTTCTTTTTAACTTACCTTTTAAAGGAGCCCAGCAGTTGGGATTTATCCTTTAGACCATACAGAAAATGAGTGGTGTTGAAGATTATTTTTTCAAAAATATCACTCTGGCCATAAAACAATCCTAATGGATTGAGTCCACACACTCAGACATCGGGACTCCCATGAGCAGGGAAGCATTCAAGCATAGACTAAAGAGACCTAGGTGTAGGGTCTGAGATCCTGGAGTCACAGGCCATGTTTATATGGTAATCTTACAGCCCCTACCTGCAGCACCCTCAAACATGCCATGCTTCTTCAGACAGGATGCTTCACAACCTGAGTGAAGTTTATCTGTCATTGAAGATGGGTAGTTTACTATATAGAAATAGATTGTGTCAAAATTTGATCTTTTCTTAAAGGCAGCCTCCCTGGTAGTCCTGAAGAAAAAAAAATCTGAAATGTGGCCAGCATGCAGTGATGTCTACCCGAGTCAGCAGGCAGCCTGAAACAATAGTTCTTTTAAGAGTGAGCAGTGCAGCTTTAAATAAAAGTGGACAACCCCCAACATTGCTCAGACCTGCTACCACACTTCAAACTTGTACCACGCTGGTCTCATTTCACTGTGTCACTGATTGGGGTGCCCCTCTTGCTTGCACCCCACGTGGGAGGCAAGACCAGTGTGGAAACAAGTTTACAGCTGGCCTCCTGTTCCATTATCAGAGCCCTAACATTGCTTTAATCCAGCCCTACCCACGAGCACCTACATGCAGTAAAAATTACTTTGAAACACTGCTCTACTGTATATTGCATAAAACTTAGCATGTTCCGTTATCCTGCAGTAACACACTCTTTTAAAAAGCTGACTAGCCTGATCTGCACAAGCCTTTTGTTTAGCAGGGCTTTCATTTTATATAAACAAAAATAACAGATCAGTGTACATGCGACTCCAGGTCAGAATTCACAAAGCTTTCAAAGACAGGCATTACATTTTCCAAGCAAACAGAAGAGGCTGAAGCCCTGACAGGGCCAGGGGCCCAGATAGCTAAAGCCTAGGGGGGATTGAGCCTGGGAGGAGCTGAAGACATGGTCGGGTCAGGGGCCCAGAGATGAGATAAGGTCCAAAGGCCTACAGGCCTATAGGATCATGATTGAGAAAGAGATCAGAAATAAGTATTTTAGGTCAATCAGAGAAGAGCACCTAAGGAATAAAGTAGAGGATAAGAGGGTGAAAGCCTGGAAGGAAGGGCTAGAGCCCAAGAAGGGCTGAAGCCAATACAGAACCAGAGAGTCCAGTGAAGAATGATGCAGTAAAACTTGTGAGGCATGGGCATGGCTATTGAGCAGATGGAGGCCATCTAGTTCTCAGAGCAGGACTATCCCCAAATATATCATCGCAGCCAAGGCTGTCTACCCAAGTCTTAAAAACCTCTAAGGATGGAGGTTCCACAGCCTCTGGGTACACTGTTCCAGGGTTTTACAACCTTTCAAGGGAGAAAGCTCTTTCTAATATCTAGCCTAAACTTCCCTTGCTGCAACTTGAGACCATTGCTCCTTGTTCCATCATCTGCCACCACTGAGAACAGCCCAGCTCCATCCTCTTTGGAACCCCCCTGAAGGTAGCTGAAGGCTGCTATTAAGTCCTCTCTGTCTTCTCTTGCCTAGATTAAAAAAGCCCAGTTCCTTCAGCCTCTCCTCAGAAGTCATGTCCCCCAGCCCCCTCACCATTTTTGCCTTCTGCTGGGCAAATTATCCACATCCTTTCTGAAGCAGGGAGGCAAAAACTGAACACTACTCCAAATGTAGCCTCACCAGTGCTGAATAGAGAGGGATAATCACATCCCCGGATCTGCCGACAACACACCTACCAATGCAGCCCAGCTTACTGTTAGTCTTCTTCACAACTAGTGCACACTGTTGGCTCATATTCAGCTTACTGTCCACTGTAATTTCTAGGTCTTTTTCCACAGATCTGCTGTCCAGTGAGTCAGCCCCAGCCTGTACTGGTACCTGGGATTGTTCTGTTCTAAGTGCAGGACTTGCAACTTGTCCTTGTTGAACCTCATGAGATTTCCTTTGGCCCAATCCTCCAGTTTGTCAAGGTCTCTGAATCCTAGCCCTATCCTCCAGTGCATCTGCTACTCCCCCCAGCTTGGTGTCATCCGTAAGCTTGCTGAGGGTGCACTCCATCTCATCTTCCAGACTGTTGATAAAGACATTGAACAAAACCAGCCCCAGGACCAACCCCTGGGGCACTCCATTTGATACAGGCTGCCAACTAGACATCAAACCACTGATTACTAATCAAGGCCCCTTAGGAAATTTGTGGACACTAGTAAGGCCTTTGGGCCACAACAGAGAGAAAGACAGGGATTAGGAATAAGTGACTGAGGGCAGAGAAGAGCACCCAGGGCTCATTCTGAGTCTCCAAGGGCAGCCTTCCAAATATACATGGGACATCCAAAGAAGCATAGTAGGTGAGGAAAAGGTGGGAGCCTTGGGAGACTGGGTAGACAGGATGAGATCAGTTTAGCTTCCAGGGGGTGTCATGGCCATCCTCTAGAAGTGGACCATCACATGGCTATTAAAACTTAATTGCATGATAGGATCTCATCTGGGATCCCCCCCCAAAAAAATCAGCATCCTACCATGCTATACAGCAGGAGTATCAAATTCATCTGGCCCTGCAGGCTGCACATAAGTGTTGGGAGCCTAGACTGGGGAGCAACCTGAGGCTCCTCGCCCAGCATGTTCATGCCATACATTCAAAATAAAACATGATTAAAGACACATTAAATGCAGAATATCTTTGTGGCCAGTTTGCCATTTTAACTGCACCATAAATTACTGTACGTGTAGCATGTTACAATTTATGGAGTCATTAATGCATTAATTGTGCCACAAATGCAATGTCTGCAAGGGGCCTTAGTTATGTGTCCCTGTCCCCTGCCCCGCCATTCAAACAAGGTGGAATTGTTTTCTCTACACAAATATTTTTGCAAATTTCTACGATGGTGACACTAGGTCCTGAATGAGTTAAAAGCCATATAAGCAGTCAGAGTTAACTCAAATGCCACAATGATATATACACCCCAGTGAATTGTGGCATACACATTACATTTCAAAATTAAAAACAGAAAACCAAAAACACTCTTGCATATATGAACATATAACACGTTTCCAAAACCCTGTAGTCTTGTATAGCTTTACAGATGTATTGTATACAATGGAACATACGTAGAAGAATTGGTATCTGCAGGGCACCACAGGGGTTGAGAAGAAGATGAGCCACTTGTAATTTAAGGCCTTGTTACACAATCATTTTAGGCAGCTTCTGGAGTTCTTAACCCCTGGATTGGCTGCATGTTAACACTCAAGTGGCTTAAAGCACCAATTATCTCTAATCTGCCTAATTTTGCTCCTGTTCCATTAAGGTATGGCCACTCCCTACAGCTGTTCCACTCAAGTTAAAGTCCTCCAGCATCCCAGGATGCAATCACCCCTCCTGAGTCAGAGCAAGCAGGGATGCTGGGGTGCAGCAGGGCTGAGCAGAGTAAGGGCTGCAGCCCCACAGCACCCAATGGTGCTCACCATCGCTCAGACCAGCTCACTGCTCCTGCCAGGGGAGTGAGTCCTGCAGCCATGGAGCTCACTCGCTCTGCCTAGCAGGAGCAGCAAGTCGGTCCAGGTTTTGCCTGGCAGGAGCAGCATATGCTGCAACCTTGGAGCTGGCTCGTTCTGCTTGACAAGAGCAGCAACCTGGACTGGGCTCTGCCTGGTGGGAGCAGGAAGCACTGCAGCCCTGGGTTCAGACCATTCCCCTCCCTGGGCTCATCAAATGGGCAAAATGGTGGTGTGAGGCCTGGGCCCCTGCTGGAGATCCTGACCTGCAGGCCCCCCTGGCCCACTCTGCTGGCTCCAAGACACAGCAGCAGCTTAGCATCACAGAAAGGGGACCAGACCAGCTTTTCAAAAATCAATAAGACTATATTCTATTTCCATTCTTTGCCATTAATAGAAAAACTTGGAGAAAGCAATGTTTGTTTTTACAATGATAATGCATCTCCCAGAGACAAAAAACTCTAAACTGGGAACAGAGAAGACAGGGAGGAATCTACCCCCCCATGAAAAGCCAATCCCCGCCCCTCCCAAAAAACCCCACAACAAAAAGAAAAAAAAAGTCACAGTACTGCCCTCTATTCAAAGAAAATTCATCTTGATCTTTTTGGTTAAAGTAATACTAAGACCAAATCAGTTTCTTGCTTGATAAAAAATGTGGCTGGGAATATGGGGTGTGTGGGGAGGAGAAAAAAAAAAAAGTATACAAACATCAACTACTTCTTGATAAAAAAGTCTAAAAACAGCCCCAGAACAGTAGTGCTCACTGCTCCCATTTGGCAGTGCCCAGACTGACTTGCTGCTCCGTCTGGGTGGCGCTGCAGCCCTTGCTCGCTCTGCCAAATGGAAGCCACAAGCCAGTCAGGGTCATGA